GGGCTGCATGAGCACCTGCACATCCAGCTGACATCCTTTGCTTTCCCCTCTGCCTCCATAGCCATCTCTTTGCTTTTGCCTCCCAGGGCTCACTTTGACTCAAAATAGGCTCGGTCTCCTACACCCAGCATCCAAAATTTCATTGGCTTTGGGTAAGATGGACACCAGTGAAGCTGTGGGGAAGCACCCTGGGCGAGCACCCAGCAGCTCAGGGCACCCACCCGAAAAGACATCCAGTGAATACTTTCACATGCAAACCTGCTCTCATTTTGTACAGGACTCTGCGCTTCACTTCGATCAAAGTCAACAAGCCATAAACACCACTCACCCGTGAGAGTTTAGAAGTCACTACAGCCTCCTGGGAAAAAAAAATACTATGAAAAAAATCAGAGGAGGGAATTAATTGAGCCTGCAGCTGTCTGCTCTACATATCAGACGTCACAAAGTTCATGTTGCTGCACGGGATTTTTTTTTTGTACAAGGGATGAGCAGGCGAAAGCAGCGCAAAAACCAGAACAAAGTGTTTACTCTGCTCATCCATGACCAGGCTTTCACCCCACAGGCTACTGTGTCTTTTGCAGGACTTGACACATGAGCACTGTGATGCATCTTCTGTGCCAATTTTGCATCTCTCTTTATTACAATTAAAGGGGTTTTATTTTTTTTCCTTTTTGTTTAAGTTACTATGTCACAATAGAGAACAACAGACATCACTATGTGGGAGTGAATCACAAAGTATTTTATTTGGCTTAAGCTAGTAACTTTACCTGCAAATGGAAACAAAGACAGTCAGATTATAGAGACATGTATACAAATTTGTATCTTTTTTTTGATTACACAGCATGGGAGTTCACAAACCACCAAGCTCTTCAAAACTGCCCAGGTGCAACAGACGTTAAAGCTAAAGCAGAGCAAACAGTGATGGATGATCCACGTCATCCAGCAATGGCTGGAGACCCCCAGTCCAGTGTCTCAAGTCCACACCTCACATTATAATGTCTGGAGTAAAACAGTCACCTTTTTATCACTTGTTATTGGCATAATTTCTATCATATTACTAAAACCACAGCTTATACCAAAAGCTACTCTTCACCATTTCTTCTGTGACTCACTCTGGCTGCAAGGAGACTCAGCCACTAGCAATCTCTAAGTGAATCAAACTGTGTAATGCTTGCTGTACCTACTTTCCCCCTCTCGCCCCCCTCCCCACCAAGGAAATTGTCCAGCAACTGTTTTAAGTGCCTCCAGAAGCCCTGACACCATTTGTGAGCTGAGAAGCTCAGCTTCCACTGAGGCTCTCCCTCACCAGCTTCGGCAGCTCCACATGCAGTTCTCAAAATGTGGCCTCTGGCTTTAATATCCAACTGGAAGACAACCTGTGATGAGCTTCCCACCATGCTTGATATTGGGACCTCCAGGCTGTGAACATTGCCTTTTAGTGGATTAAATCCATGTGCCAGCATGGCCTCCTTGAAGCCCGAATTGCATGTTTGAGGTTTCCCATCCAGGGCAATGGACGCAGCCTGTGAGGAGCCAGGAACAGCATCCTGAGCCTCTACCACCAGAAAGCCCCATTCACTATCGAACAGAAACAGTAGAGGGGAGGCTTTCAGTGGAAAATGTGATGAGAATAGAAAGAAAGAGAGTAAAAGCCCTGTCAGCACATTTCATAGACAGTCTTTTTAATGAGGAGATAAACAGATAAAGCTTTCAATACATGTATGGAGATTTTTTTTTTTAATTTGAAAAGAAGCTAACCAAGCACACAGGATTCAATATAAAACAAAGACAGAACAAAACATTTTCTGACAAGGCCTAAACAATTTCAAAATTGTCAATTCTAGTGCCACAGAGGTCTCCAATCCCTATCCACCCTATTCATTTTTTTTTAATTATCTTTTCCTTTCAGGTAGCCGACTGTGCAGTAAAGTTCAGCACATGCAAAAACCATCCCCCCAGTTCTGTGTGGGATCCCCAGTTTTGCTGTAGCAGCACTGGAAATCAGGGCAAAGACTAGGAGCAGGCTAACCTTCCCTTCTGGAATCAGATCCATGCCACACAGTGTGGATCCAGACCTCCCCAGATGCCACAGAGCTCCACCAGTGTGGCAAAACTTCATTCCTATTACACAGTTCCCAACTATAGTATCTGCCACCCTCTACAACCATTTCATGTGCAAAGAAGCTGTCCTGCCAATAACATGCTGTTTCTTAATCTGATGCGACACATTTAAATCAGGTGTGTAAGTGGAAAATCAATATTCAAAACCCAGCCTGAAGCTATTATGCCACAAGAGAGATTTCTTCCCATGAAGATGATTTTAAACACAGAATTTAAAAAACATGAGATGGGACTCAGACAACCCACTCAGCAAAGGAAAGCCCTCTCTCTTCATATGCCATGCAGGAACAGTAGAATGCTCTCTGCTCTCCCACCAAGATTTCTTCCACTGTAACCTGGAATGGTAACCGCAGACAGCGGGGGGGGGGGAGCAGCTATGCTCTCCTGGATAGCCTGCAATAACTTCAAATTTCATACATGGCATCTTCAAATTAATGATCTAGAGGGGTTTTCAGCACAATCAGAATCTGCCACGCAAATACCACCACAGCTTTATCCCTGCTGTTCTAAGTAACTCCATGCATACATATAGCTATGGACTTTTCCCTAGACAAGGTTATATATATATATATACACACACATATATATATATATACACAACCCTCTACACTTAAAAATTGAAACAAAACCAGTTTAATATACAAAAATCAAACAAAGTGACAATCATACTCCCCAGAAAATAAATTCTGTTCTGGGGGGTTTATGTTTCAGAAGTTGTATTTCAGGTTAGCAGAAGAAAACCGTATCCTAAAGAGCCAGCCACAGAAACCCATTACAAACACATATACACTTAAATATGAGGCACTGCTGCCAGGTATTTTCAACAAACTGCAAACTTACTGCAGATTCAACCATCCTGAATAGTCCCCCGGGATCATTTTCGGTGGTCATATTAAAGATTTGGAAGTGTCACCATGTAGGAAGGAGCACAATCCTGTAACCTGTCACCCACCTTGTACACACCATGCAATTTAAAGCATGAGGGTTTTTATTTTGAAGCAGTGAAGCAGGGCTAAAAGCTGCTTCCTGCATACAGTTAATAACACAGAAAAGTAAAAATTAAATAACTGCCTACATATCAGATGAAATAAAGTCTAATGTGGTTTCTAACAGCTGGGCCAAAATTATCTCTAGACATTAAGGGTCATGATCAGAGCAGCGACTACACCACTGCAGGACTCCAGAGGGGTATTTCAGATGGCTGCACTGCAAGGCTGGTAGCTCCCGGCTCCCTGTTCTCCTGAATGAATGTGCCACGGTACGTGACTATGTACGTCTCCATCACCGTGTAATGCAGTCTGAGGACACCCCAACTCTCCCTTTCTCATCTGATTTTTTTCAAATGACTAGGGAGAAGGGTGTTCTTCCCAAGCGACAGTGTAAGTGAACATTTGAGTCTAGGTTTTATAAATTCCTGCTATCTCACTTTACTTAGCAGAAGCAAGATGGGCCAAATGAACTTGTGTACCAAGGAAAGCAATAAATTCATCACCACTCAGGCTTCCAAATCTGAGAGCTGAATAGCCTGCCCAAAAGTTTTGGCCACAAAACCCAGGAAGGTCTCATTACAGGAATTCTTATGTGAAATTCTCAGTCTGAACTGAGTAAGAGATCAGATCAGATCACAAAGACATGGACTGTTCTCAAAAACCTCTTCGAACTCCACATGCTCTTTGAATAAATGCAGAAGTTAATATATTTTCTTAGGACTACACAAGGATACATCAGCTGCACTGGTGATTGCTCTTGAGATCATGGATTGAGCCTAGTTGAAGGCAAAATTGTAAAATTAAATACTCACAGCAAGGTCCACTATCACATTATAATAGTTGGCCAATCCAACAGGAATTGTTATTAATCTTTTTCTTCCATCTTAACCCTAACTTTTGAAACACACCCTGTACTGCCTTCCTCCACCACCTTTTTTTAATTTGAACGCTGACTTTGGTATTGAAAAATCTGCATATGCTACTTCATTTGTTTGAAAAGGAATTTAACAGTTAAGTATTTTTTTTGACCTGGGTGTTTCAACTGGTCGAGAGCATTCACCTCTTACTCCCATCAGTAAAAGAATTTGTTAATGGATTTTGTTTCAGTCCCACTCACTTTCATGGTATACATCCACAGCAAAGAAGTTTTTACACAGATGGCAAATTTCCAGCATTTGCTTTCAGGCTGCTCATCATGAAAGTACAGATATATTCCTTAAATATTATATGAATCAGAGCCAGAACTCAAAGCCAGAAATAATTACCGTCTCTGGACAACATTCAGCAACCCATTCCCTTCTTCCCCAGCCTGCCAGCTATCTTCAGCACAAGCAGACATCCTCCTCCTTTTAATTGTCCACTCGTTTGTTTCTTGTGGGTTAGTCTTCTCCCATTTTACTCCTCATCTTTACCCCTCCAGCTTTCTACAGGAGTTATATAGGGCCCCATCTCCCAGGCTTTTTGCTTTCTGCACTCTACTCAGCTTCATCCTGGGGGACCAAACTCCCACTGAAGTACTTTTATTGTGATCAGCTGCAGTAAAGCATCCTCAACCCTTGAAGAAAAGTATCTGTGTTTTCAGTGTTCTCAAACATAAACATAAAATAAACAACTTGACATGAATGACTCAAATTAGCTCTCCCTTTCAGTCTCGTTCCCCATCTTTAACATCTTGGAATCACTTCCATTCTTTAATGAAGTTCAGGCATTACTTTAAGTGAAACATTGCTGAAAACAGGCCGATGCAAAGCCTGCTGTAGCCCCATTTCCTGATCGCTGGAGACACAGACACCCAACTGACAGACCCAGCCACGGGGGGCTGCTTTCTGCTGCTTAACTCTCTCTCCACATCCTTAGGCCCAGGCTGTGTTTGTAGATTCCTTCTGAAAGCAGCAAAGATGGCTTTTCCCATCCATCCTAGCACTGAAGCTCATAACTAAGTCTGGGTTTTGGTAATGCCAATATCTCCTTATTTGATACATGCATCCTGTTGCTTTGTTCAGACTTAGCTTTCCTTCCCCTAGTCCAGCATTACCAAGGACTCTTAAAATCATTGCTTTCATTCTGGTTTTCGACTCCTTCGTCCCTTGCACCAGGCTCACACTATTTGGACCTCAACAGACTGACTATACTGTGCTACTGAAGCATCAGCTCCGGTCTCAGGTTGGCCAACCCCTCCTGATGTCGCTGCTCACCTGGTAAGCCTCAACATACACCATCATGATTTCTTACTAATGAATTCGCTGTTCATCCTGTCACTTACAAACACACATCTGTCTGTCCTCCCAGCTTTTTTGCATTTCTTGATCAGTCAGTTTTTGCCTATCGTATCAATACTACTCTCATGGTTATATATATATATTTTATAGATGATGTATTTCCATCATATACACTCTAAGTCTATGGTGGAAAAAAACTTTCACTGGATTCAGGACTGTACAATCTTGACTCAATACCAGCCAAAATAACCTTACATTTATTAAAAACTAGCCACAAATAGCACAAAAATATTCCCAAATATTATTATAACTGAAAATGTTCCCAACTATTTCATAAAAAACATTCCCTGTCTAATTGCTCCTTATTTCTTTGGAAGTCAGTCACTAATAGCAACACTGATACTAGCATATGGAGCAGACTGCAGCATTTCAAAGTTGCCAACAAGTTTAAACAAACAAATTGCAGAAATTAAAGTTTAAGCAAAACTTTCTTCCCAGAAACAAATACTGACACTGGATACAAAATATGAAAATGCCAAGCCAATACAAACACTGAAGGAGACAAAACAAAACCAGGCAGGAATTCCATTTTGGCATAAGTGACAGCAGTTTTATGCCTGGATCACAAAGGAGCGGTTTCACTTCTGAAAAATTAAGTGTCTATACCCTCAGGTAGGAAGTGAAGCACCTGGCAGGGCTAGGGAGGATGATGCAGAGCACTGCACTCCCTCTGCCCAGTGACTCACCATGTAAACGATTCCCAGATCTTTTCTGGCAGTTTTTTCATTGTTTTGCACAGGGTAGACTGGCAGTTCCCGGAGGTACATTTTCCTAGTAAATACTACACCGGGAGATTACAGATGCCACGAGTGGACTGCCTTGGAGGCAAAAACCTGGGTGTGCAACTTCAACGATAGAGACTTCCTCTGAGGTGACCTACAGGATTAACAATAATCCTGGTGTAACTAAATATGTTATTTGCCATCTTTTTTGCCCATGAAGGAAAATTTAAGAACACCTCTACTTCTTTCGGTATTCCAGGCCAGCAAAAGACTGGACTGAAGGTAACATGCAATACACTTAGACCCCGTTGCACAACAGCCGATTACTTTTCTCCTTTGTTTGGATGCCAAAACAAAATTTTAACTCTCAACACATTAATAAAAACATAATCCAGCTATCAAGAAATTAATAAAAAAAAGTAACCTAGGCATCCTTGCTAGTATTTCCTCCAAACAAAAGACATTCTGTAGTCCTCAGCTCCATGTGAACTGCTGCCACAGTTTCAGATGCCACTGAAAAAGCATCTCCATGTGCCTATGCAGACACTGCACAGACAGAAGGGAGCCCTCTCTGCACAGAGCCCTCTGAGTTACCCAACAAGAGCCACTCAAATGAAAATACTCATAACAAAAGCAACTCAATCTTAAGCACTGTCAATAAAGTTCCAAACTAAAATGAAAAGTCTACGTATCTGAGCAGGGAGCTCAGGCTGAAGTAACCCATTATCAGAAAAGGCTTCTTTAGGAACATGCTGAATACAGCACCAAATTTTCTGAAGCTGTTTTGCTACAAGACACAATCACTTCAGACTAACATTAAATGTGGCCACTGCAAATAAAGGAGCAAGCAATAATACAGATCACAAATAATCAAATCTTACTGTGTGACCTTTTCAATAAGATGCTAAAAAGCAACTTATCTCTGTGGCAGAACCTTGATCATGGTTGCTCCATCAGATTCTTCCTACAGTCCAGTCTAACATTACATCAGCAAGTCAAGTCAGGACACAGCCATTTAACTTTCTCCTTTGATTGAGACTTTGCAAAAGAGGAGCAATTCCTTAGGGCTTTTTGCCCCTTCTCAGAGGAGACCATCATATTCACACTTAACTATGTGAAACACTTACAGCCCTAAGTGATCCAGGACAGGGTTGTCTCAAAGACATTCCCTCTGGGCAGTTCTACACTGCCTGTGCTGAGTAGGGTCTGGGTACTCTGCAGGAACTAGCAGCACCTCATCCAGATGTTTCCCTTCAAACAGTCAGTATGCAACAGACTGGCTCAAGTTCCTTCTGCCCATATTTTCTAGAATTACTTTTCAGAACTTTAGGCATAGAGTCCCACCTATACATATCCTGGCTTTGCCTCAGCCCAAATCGAACAGGTTGAGAAGCTTTGGTTGCACACAGTTGAGTAGTGGATGTGAAACCACTCACTTCAGGCAGCACTGCACCATTACTCAGGAGCTATCCAGACAGCAGTGAAAACCAGGACCATAACATCACACAGGCTCCTGAGCCTAGGAAGATACTTTTCAACTTAATTGCTTTCCCTGTTCTTCAGATTACCCCAAAGTCATCTGTCCCAGTCTACATTCCTTCAGCTACTTGCTCATGTTAAGTACCTGCCTACTTAGCTGTCCTTGGTCACGTACACAGCTCTCACAGCTCTGCCTTGCCTGGAAATAAAGCAGCTCCTTCTCAAGCTGAGTTTGACTAACATTGCACTCTACCTCACAGCTAAAGGCAAACTCCTACAGAAGGTCTGACAGGCCACAAGACGGTTTAGTGGAGGAGAAAACAGCACCCAGGATAAAAAGGTTAAACTGCCCTAAAAAACCACTTTGCACACTCCTAGGAGGAAACTTCTGTTAAGTAATGAGAAGTCACATGCCCAAAGAACCCTGTGGAGTTTTACCCTCACGTTGAGGCTTGACAGTTTGAGCCTCACATTGCAGCACAGTTGCCTTCTTGCACAACAGCAGACTGGTCCTGGGCAGGAAAATCAGCTGTGCCCTACCCATCTCAAAAAGGAGGAGATGCTATGTTTAGTTTCTCAGGTTCGAGCAGCCTCACAGAAGTCCAGATTGGAGGCTCCTATCAGAAGCCATAGGATTTCCTCAGTATACATTGGTCTATTATCTATTACAGTCAATAACATGAAATTGGGCACTGTATTTACAGGATGGGCACTGGCTGCAGAGCAGGCTGCTCTCCACCCTTCCCAGCAGTCTGAATGAT